CTCCGACTGGTGCAGAGAGAATGAGTTTCATTTAACATAGGAATTGTAGAATAAAAGAGAGAACTAAAGAAGAAGATGACGAGAATGAGTATGTATGTAAGCGCGTGTTCATCATCGACTATGAATATTTCTCCGCAGTCTTTCTTCTTCATCGTCTTCTTGACTATGCAATGAGGAAATGCGAGGCCAATGCAACTGGTACTGAAAGAAAAATGAAGAGTATAATGACTGTTGCCGGTTTGGAATGCAAACAAAAGACGAAGTACTACGTGTTTAGATGTGTATTTATGACGATGAAATATATATATTTGATAATGAATAAAAATTATCGACAAGTGAAATTCTTTACATCTTTGAACAAATATTAAAAATTTTATTAGTAATAAACAAAATATAGAAATATACGTGCCAAGATGACGATGGCAACAATTTGGCAACCTGTTACACTGAGTGATCATCCAATGTAAGTACATAAAAACAAAAAAACATCATCTACGTCAAACATAATAGCGGTTTTGTGTTAACTAAATATATTAGTCAAAAAAAACGATTAGATATATCTTTCATATCAAGTTATTTGTTAGTTGTCTGTCAGAAAGTCATTCCTTCATCTATCTGCCAAATGGACTTCTTGTCTAGTTTTTCTTCGTTTTTGTTGCTAATGTATAATTTTTCTAATGTATGGATTGATGGACTTACATGCCGGTGTTTTTATAGTATTAGATAGAAAAAAAAACAACAAAAAAGATATATATATACAAAAACTGTCTTAAATAGTATATTTAACAACTAATTAAAAATGATTATTTTCTTAATAATTATAGTTGAGTTGAATATTATAGATTTCTCTAGATAATCATAAGTAATATCAAAGAAACGAAAGATGGCTATGACAGTTATTACTTGATTTTCATATCCAAAATTGCCTGTTTCTCTTCTTCTTCTGTCATAATATACCGTAAGTAAAATAAAGAACAAGTATGTATATTAGGTTTCGAAGAAAAATTCTTTTTTTGTTTTGTGTAAATACATATCGATCAAAGAAAACAAAACAAAAAATCAACTGTAATTTGCTCGCTTGAAAAATAAAAAGAAGAAAATCATGTATATACATATATATGCATTATTTGTGACGGAAGATAAATATATACATATATGTCAACATGATAAATCATTTGTATTTCAAATATCTATTTCAAGGACAATGAATTTTGAAATTAGGTTTTTTTTCTTCTTTTTATTCAATCAAATTTCAATTCAATTAATATTCGAAATATATAAATTGTATTATAAGAGAATCGAATGAAAATTTATATTTTGTTTTTTTGTTTTCTTTTCTTTTTTATAAGAATTCTATAGAAAATATGATAAAAATATATATTTAGAGAGACATGATAGAAAATGGTTTTCTATTCTGCATACATTTAAGTTAGGCAGACCTCCGACTTATTTCTTTTGTTTGAATACTACGTCATGTAACGATGTTGTTCGTATGGGAAAATGAGAAGACAACAAAACAAAAAAAAGAAAGAAATGCGAATAGACATGTTGCTAGAACTGGAACAATACGAAGGTCATATTTGATGACAGAAGAATAAGGTTGATGATGGACAAACTATTCTGGTAGCAACTATGGTGATAGTGTTAGCTGTTGTTATTTTTTGATATTGACGTCATTGGACGAGACAACAAAAGCATTAAGTTGCGACTAGTATCGTCTAATATTAATATCTACTGCGACTTCAAGCAGTTTTCTCTTCTTATTCTTCTTTTTTCCATCATTTCTGCTTTTCTATTCTCATTGATGTTTGTTGTTGTTACTCTTGTATATATGTATGTAGGGATGGATATGTTCTCATTAGCGAACGTCATCATCATATTTTCTTTGACTTCCTTGTTGTTTTACTCTTCCGATGCTCTTCCGGTGACTTTTAATATCATCTTTCTTCTTTTTTTACAAAACTCGCATTAAGATACGCCATCGAATATTATATAGATTTAAATAAGATCTATCAAATAATGATTCTTACTGATCGTTCTCTGTAAGTTAAAATAGTCAGTCGCTTTTATTTCGTTGTTTCATTTGCGTATTTAATATATATATATATATGTATGAAGTGGTCACGAATCAACGCGTCGTCGTGGATTTGATTTTGTTAATGATCAATCAACATTACCTCGTCGATCAAGTCGACATACATCTATTGGTCATCACAGTGTATTTCATGATCCATTACGTAGTAGTACTGGTTCTATATCATATGATGCTGATCCAAATAGATCATCTGTTGTTAGTTGTCTTATACCCGCTAGTATAGCTGTTGTGTCCAGGTGAGAAAGAATTCTTATTTGTTGAAAAACAAAAGAGTAGAAAATTAATGTTTGAATTTGCATATTATTACATGTAATTGTAGCACATAGAAATTAATATACAGATAATATTATATCTTATCATGATATATTATTCACTATAGAAAAATTGTATATATTATTGTGTTAACTTCTTTTTCTTTTCTTATGAAAATGGATGATTAGAAATATGTAAATGTTTTCATTATAGATTTTGAACTATTAAAGTAATTTTTCGATTTTATTTTATTTAATTTTTTTCGTTTTTGTAAATAGAAATTAGAAACCAATAAATGTATGTATACACAGAAAATTCTAGTCGAACTATTAGAAATTCCCAAAAGAATAAAAAATATTAACCAACATAGATTCGAAATCATACTCAATTGATTCTTTATGATTATTTTTCTTTTTTGTTGATCAATTTCACAAGCAAACAAAAACAATAGATTGTGATCTTTTTTAAATTGAACATTAAAAATGCATGTATATAAATATGTCTATATGTGAAATTAAAGCTTATCAACTCCTAGAAAGTAGTTTTTTTTCTTATTGCTCTAATATAATTAATAAAAACATTCGTGACTTGTTATCGACGAAATTACATTTCTATTTTCTTAGAAAAATAATCTGACATAGAATATTATCAATTCTTTTGGGATTATGTCATTCAATTATTTAGAATGTATACAAATCACAAAACTCTATTATCGAGACAAAGTTTAATCAATAAACTTAAAAATCAAGTAGAACAGATACTTATATAATTCTATATATATATACCATAGAGAAATGCTCGATTTGATATACTATAATCAATAATGTTTGAAAGAAAAAAATAATAAAACTTAAGAAATATAAATTAGTTTTATGTAAATTTGAATACGATTTCTTGATCTGCGAAGATATTTTTTGAACAGAACAAAAAAAAAAAAAGAAGAATAATAACCTTGTAATCAACATCAAGAAAAAAAAACATGAGGACTTTTTTTTCGATACACAGATGCACATTTATATATCCTTGTTTGATTAACGTTGTTGTCATCGTTTATTCTCGGTTGGTCTTATCGGTAGAACTTATAGATGTGGAAATAATTAGGAAAGAGAGAAAGAGAGAGCGAGAAACTAAACTTTGTCCTACTATCTTTATCTTCGATATAACTTCGACTATATATAAAGAGAATAAATAAATAAATAAATAAATAAATGAATTACTAGAAAAAAAAATGTAAAAATGATAGTTCGATTGACCTGTTTCTTTCTTTCTTTCTTTCTTATTTTAATTTCTCATAATTTTTATATAAGATAGACAAGCTAAATGACAGAAAACGTTGATAGTTGTCTTTTATATTTTTTCTCTTTCTTGTATCTATACATACAACAACTAGAACAGTACTAGTGATGATGGTGTTGCTCCAAGGAGTAAAATCATCGCACATGTTACTATTGTTATTGTTCCAAAGTATTTTTTGCTACTAGTATTTATATTATTTGGAAGAACAACTGATCATGCTGTGAGTAGTAATTTATTCATAAATAAATAAATAAATAAATAAATAACAAAATATTAAAGATATAATTTAATAAAGATGATGATATGAATCTTTTTTTTTGTTGTTATTGTTTAATTTAGAGCATTTTCTCGACCGATCGATGAAGAGTTAACTCAAGAAGAACAATTACAAATATCAAAACATCCTGATTATGAATCAACTGAACGTGTTGTTATAAATGTATCGGGTTTAAAATTTGAAACACAATTACAAACATTAAATAATTTTCCTCGTACACTTTTGGGTAATCCATCACGACGTGTTCGATTTTTTGATCCATTACGTAATGAATATTTTTTTGATCGAAATCGACCAAGTTTTGATGCTATTCTTTATTATTATCAATCGAATGGTCGACTTAGACGACCAAATCATGTACCAATTGGTAAAAGAAAATCAAAAAAAATTTTTATAAAAGAAAATTAAACATATGTATTTTCGTTTGTTTAGATGTATTTACTGAAGAAATCAAATTTTTTGAATTAGGTGAAGATGCATTTAATAAATTTCGTGAAGATGAAGGTTTTATTAAAGAAGAAGAACGTATATTACCTAAAACAGAATTTCAACGTAAAGTTTGGCTTTTATTTGAATATCCTGAAACATCTCAATGGGCACGTGTTGTTGCAATTATATCTGTTACTGTTATTCTTATGTCAATTGTCATATTCTGTCTTGGTATGTGCTAAAAGAAAATAATTGAGACAAAAAATATTTTCATTTTGTTTGTTTTTTTTTTAATATTTAGAAACACTTCCTAAATTTAAACGTTATCGTGTTCGACCAGCGGATAATACATCTTATGATTCATCTCGTTTAACAATTGAAGAAGATGATATTCCTGAATTAACAGAACCATTTTTTATCATTGAAACATGTTGTATAGTATGGTTTTCATTTGAATTAATTGTTCGTTTAATATCATCACCAATGAAACTTGTCTTTCTTAAATCTATGATGAATATTATTGATATTGTTGCTATTGTACCATATTTTATAACATTATTTACAATATTAGCTGAAGAAAAAACAAAATCAAATCAAGCTATGTCATTAGCTATACTACGAGTTATACGTCTTGTTCGTGTTTTTCGTATATTTAAATTATCTCGACATTCAAAAGGTTTACAAATCTTAGGACAAACATTACGTGCAAGTATGCAAGAATTAGCATTATTAATATTTTTTCTATTTATTGGTGTTATATTATTTTCATCGGCGGTCTATTTTGCTGAACAAAGTGAACCAGAATCATTTTTTAAATCTATACCTGATGCATTTTGGTGGGCAATGATTACAATGACAACTGTAAGTTATTTTTATTCAAAAATATGAAAAACAAAAAAACATTTATTTTAGGTTGGATATGGAGATATGCGTCCTGTTGGTATATTTGGTAAAATTGTTGGTTCAATGTGTGCTATTGCTGGTGTATTAACAATAGCTTTACCTGTACCTGTTATTGTATCAAATTTTAATTATTTTTATCATCGAGATATCGATTCAGAAGAACAAAAAGATATAAAATATTCAACTAGTCCTGGTAGTTCAACTCCACCTATTGGTGATATGATTAATAATGAACAATTTGCATTAACAATGTCAACAAGTGTTGGTGGTGGTACACAAAAGAAAAAATCTGTTTCATCAGCAGATACTTATCATCATTTTGATGAATCCGATACATTTCTTCATTCATATGGTGCTGCTGATGAGTTAACATTTCGTACATCAACTGCCAATCATAAAAATATAAGAACTTCACCGACACAACAATTAATACAACGGAAAACATCATCAACAAATAATAATAATAATAATCTTCATAGTCATAATTTAAATTCATCAAATGAACCACTTAATGTTGAAACAGATGTATAGTCTTGACATTATCCGTCCACCTGGTCTACTCTGCCACCTAGTCATCCCTTTCTATTCTCTATTATCCTTAGTATTAATCTAAATGTTTATTCGTTCGATTAAAAAACAAAGTGTTCAGATAGCTTTTATTCGTTCGAAGACAACTATGGTTAAGATAAATACTAAGAGCAAATGTTTCTTTTTTTCCTTTATTTTCAAAAGAAAACGAAATGTTATTAAGAAAAGAACAGAAGAGATATAGCCCAGTGGTTTTTTTTTGTAATTTTTTTTTCTTTTTTTTGTGTAAAAAAACAAAAAATTTTATTACTATTATTTTCTTTTCTCATGTATATTGATGAACGCCAATAACAAATTTGTTCTTCGATAAAGTTATAAAAAAAAGGAGAAAAAAAAGCTTGAATGTTATTTTCATATTTGTAAATGAAAATGTAATCGAAATTTAGAAATACAAAACATTTTATTATTCGATAAAAAAGACATTTCAATCAAAAAAGTTAAATTCGTAATTTGGAATCATAATGATCGGACTTCTAGGAAACAATCCAAAACTCTATCATTCCTATAGAGTTAAGTGTTTAGACCTGAAAATTTTTAGTAACAGAGTTTTTTTTTTGTACTTCTACTCGAAACGCACTTGAATCAATGTTAATACCAATGTAACAAGCCGTGTTAAGTCATATGTTATTAAATTTTTCTGATTCCATATTATATGATGATTTTCGTATTGATTGTTAAAAAAATTGGTCACTTCGTTTTTTTTATACAAAAAAAATATCTATATCGATTGTATTTATCTTTAGATAAATAATACAATAAAATAAATAATTATTCAATCAGTTCTTCTATGAGAAAATTAACTTTGGCATGACTAAAATTCATAACTATTACTTTTTTCATACATAATTTTCATTAGTAAAATTTTAAATGAATCTAAACAATTGTAATTAATTGATTAATAAATAATCAGTCAGTTACTGTTAATAACCGATATATAATATGCTTAGTTTAAGAAACTTGCTCGTAATAGAGATATGTTATACAGTACAATGTTGTGGTTGTATGTGTTTATGACTGTCGATGGACAAATACAATGATTTATCGACTCTTAAACTACCATTAATTATTTCTATAGGCAAAGAATGATAGTATATGATATTTTTGACTGTAATGTCATAGCAATATGTAAGTGTATTGTTGACTCATATAAAGCGTTAAAATATCATTTTTGATGAATATCGCATTTTTCATCCTAGAATCGCTTCATTTACCGATATATTTATCTGCTTTTTAAAGGCTATTTCTGTTATGTGTAGAAAATAGTTTGTTGTATAAAAACATATGAAATCAATTTACTCTTAAATCATCGTATTATGTCAATGTCTTATAAATTTTTTTTTCTTTAGTAGTCATTTTGAATATTCAGAAATAATTAATTCATATAAGGGATCATGTTCAATTTTGTTGTTTACAAAAATTTATTTTTTAAAGACTTTCAATAAATCTTTCTCGAAAAATGTCTTTGATATTCAATAATATAAATAAGAATGACATAAAAAAAAAGTGTTCTATTAGAAAATATTGTTAATATAATTGAAATTTTAAAATTATTCAAATTTTAAAATTATTCAAATTTTAAAATTATTCAAATTTTAAAATTATTCAAATTTTAAAATTATTCAAATTTATTAGATGATAAATATTATAGGTTAATCATGGTTTAATAAATACAGATGTTTTGTAAATATTACTATGACCATGTGCTTCTCAAGATGGATTTGACAAAGAGTAATTACTAACGTTTGTTACTTCGACAAATATCAATTATACATATGCATATATATATATATGTATCAATAATACTAGTAAAAGAATATTAACACAAGGACGTATGGAATAAATCATAATATATTTAATAGTATAAAGAAAATTAGTCTTGAATTCATAAGATCAATTGTAATTTGATTTTTTAACTAATATTCTTAATATATAACTATACCTAGCAGTTGAACATACAATTATAATTAATAATAATAATAATAATAATATATATGTATTTCGTTTTGCACATAATTGCACGAATCCATCGATCTAATGTAAAACATACTTACATTCATGATGATGCTGATTGTATGAAATAAAAAAAACAAATAAAATAAATGTTCAAATGTAACATAATAATTCATAATTTATTAGTTAAATTAATCAAATCAATATCAGTTGTTATTGTGCATAATTATTGTTGAGAAAAATTCTTATACCGTAAACATATGTAAAAATTAGAAGTCTTTCAGTTCAAACCTAATTAAACTTGACTTATTAAAAAATAGTTAACGAATAACTGTCTGCCTTTATGACAGAAAAGTTGTAGAATTTCAAGGTAGACTTTACACCACAAACTATTTCGATGCTAAAATTTTCAGTAAGATCCGACTTCACCGGTACTAATTTTATATTTAGAATTCGTTTTTGAACTCTTCATTGAATGACAAGAAGATTTTTTGTCTCTATATTCATATTCAGTCACATCGTTAATAATGAATAAACTCAATTTTTTAAAAAAAATCTAGACATATTCAAAAAAAAACCTTGCATGGAGTCTAAAAAATACTTTTTGAACTTGAAGTATCTGTAAACAGTAAAAATGTTGGTCTTTTTTTTGTGTGAAGTCATTAGCACTAGTTTTTCAATAATGACTCAACAAAATAAAGATCTAAGTGTTGAGATTTTCAGGATATTTAGAGTCACTCAATGTACATTTGATAGATACTAATTAGCTAAAATAAATTTCAGAGATATATGCATTTTTATTTTCCGACATCACGTCACACTAACGCATGAAACTGTTAATATAACAATATTTGCTAATAATCGATCAAATATTTGAACTTATCATGTTATTCAAATCCTCTATTTTACTGTGATGAGTAGAGAAAAGAAAATGATAATCCAGTGAATTAAAGAAAAAAAAGAAAGCTATAAATAAATAAAATAATAAGATTTCTCTTTCTTTGTTCTGTAATTTCTTTTTTATTATGATGATTAAGCTACGTAAAGAAGGAACCTTTTCATTTAAAAATCTTCTTAACTTTTATCTGGAAGAATTTATAATTATAAGTTCGTGCAAAGACGAGAAATCGTAATTAGATTTCATATTATCATATAGCATATAGAAAATTCACTTTAATTGTAAACAATGAATTAAAAATATTCAAATGAACAAAGTCATATATATATTTTTTTTGATTTTCTCAGTGCTAGAACATATCTAACGAAATTTGAGTATATTTTTCTGTGCATAATAGATTCATGTTTTCTATTATGATGATTTACGAATTTGAATTTTCAAAAATGACACAGAGAACAAAAAGATTGAATAAAAGTTCTTAAATAAAGATATGTGAGAGTAAATTTTGTTTATGTAGCGAAAAATAATTTTCATAATATTTAACTGTATTTAAAAGACAGATACAATCTAACCCATAAATAAGCCCTTCTTCGATCCCAATCCTCGATTGACAAGTGCGCCTACAACACCTTGGATTTTACATATTTATAGGACATTTTTATATTATTCATTAAAGCGATTGATAGAATATCAATAATGATTCTAATAAAGTGTTAATATGAAAATAAAAAGAATAAAACCAGTATTATGATTTAAATATTTTATTATAACAAGAATAATGGAACACTATAACCATGGACTAATAATAGTTAAATCCAATCTATCTATATATGTACAAAAATAAATGCAACCATATCTTCATAACACTTAAATATAAACTCATAGTAACAAAAACTCATAATAATATCTATAACTAACAGTATAAATGAATGTCTTGAATTGATATTTCATTTAATTTATATAAGCTTCAATTCTTTATCTCTGACATGAATAATAAGTAACCTTGAGAGTATTAGAAGCGTGGGTAAGCTATTATGAATAGATTGTTATATGGTCTAGTTATTCTTATTATAATAAAATATTTAAGTCATGATGCTATTTTTTAATTTTTCTTTTGAGAAAAATAAAAAGTTTATTAAATTATATCTTTCAGTTGATGATGATTGCATATGGATTAAAAAGTCGAAAATTTTAGAATCAATACATCAATTTAGGTGTAAACTACAAAACATTTTCTACATTACTTTTACTCAGACTGTTATAATTTTCTTGAGTACATATATATTCCAGTTCTTTAACATTTTAACACTTGATATGGCAGTATAACTAATTTTTAGATGCACAGTTTTTTGACGTCCTTATTATCTACGTAAGTTAGAAAATATTTGTATGTTATATTTACATGAGTAATTCAACAATGCAGAATTCTACATAGAATTCTGAAAAAGGAAAATCATCTGTACGTATTGTAAAATACTAATGCATGAATATTCTATGCGTTAGATGCCGTTTGATTCTATAATTTGACAATGAACAAGTCTTAATGAGCGAAAAAAATCTCTAAAAACAATAAATTGATTGTCAAGATCTTTTTGGAGTCGAGATTAGAAATGCTCTCTTTATCAAGCAAAATTCTCTATTTTTGTGGGTTTAATACGAAAAAAATTTTAAACTATCGGTTTAACAGAGCTATAAAGATGAAGTCTATTAAAACTTCGTTTTTTCTTAGAATGATCTATCGATAGTAAAAATATGAAGTCAAAGGATGTCCAATCATATCACATTTCTTTATTGATTGTTTATTACAATTCAGATGATCGTTTGATAAAAGATTTAATGAAACTATTAAAATTAAGAAAACCAGATTATTTCTCTTCTACGTAGTACATATAATAAGTCATCCAACTAATTATATACTTTTAATAAGGTACATCAATGATAAAATGATTGCTTCTCAAGTATGAGCACAAAATGAACTGTGAAATGAACATTATCTCCATAAACTCAGAATTTGAGTGTTTGCCACAAGACAATGCGGAATCGTGAAGAGTAAGGTGACGAATTACAAGTTATTTTCCACACCTTCACACTACACTTTAAACTTATCTTTCATCTAACCCCCCTACTTCCTTACTGTCATGTATTGTAATAGATGTACTCTCATCGCTGCAGAGCATCTGACAATACAAATTGAATTTATATTTGCTCATTTCTTTATGTAACTTATTGAAAAACTTTGTTTAATATAAAATGTTAAATATGATAGGAGTAATCTATATTCAAAATCATCTAGTCTCATAAGAAGATATTTCTTAATATAAAAAATTTTTAAAGATAATATTTTTATTGAATACAGATCAATCTTGTTATTTACAAATCAAATATAGTAACGAATATAATTCATTTTAAGTTTCATCATATTGTTCATAATCTTCATTTAAAAATTTTTCTAATCGTTTAACACCAATTTCATCAAGAATTTCACGTGGAAATTCATCACGATATTTTGCAACACATTTTAAACAAAATCTTCGTGTATAAAATAAACTACAATCCGAATGAACACATACTGGACGTGAACATACAGAACATGTTGAACCAATAATTAATGATGGTAATTTTGTTTGATCTACTTTATCTTTATCTTTAATAGCAACAAACGGATCACGAAGAAGATATACTTTTTCAATTAAATCAATTGTTATGGATGGTTCTTTTTTATGTTTATTATTTTGTGTTGTTGATACAGATGATTGAATGGATTCATCAATATACTTTGAATCATGTCGATCATAAGAAGCATAAAATGGACATAGAGAACATTGAAATACTTTTGGTTCAACAATTTCCTGTTCAGTCATCTGAAATATCCGATTAATTATTAAAAAACAAACATCAAAGAAAAACAATTATCTTAATATTAATAAATTAGGTTATTTAATTGAAATAGAAGCAAGACGGGTTACTTCCGAGTTAAGTCTTTTTAATTCGTTCCTAACTAATTTCTGGCTAGATATTAATGAATGATCATCTGATATATATACCTTATTGAAAGAAATACGAGCAACAGTATACAAGAACATAAGTATGTATTATTTTCACACATTCGTCATATTTGATAACATGTACCATACTAGCTCAATTACTATCTGTATATTCTTTAAGATGAAATTCGCGTATTGAAGGGTGTAGCACTTGGCAGGTTGGTAAATCTTCTATATGTCGGCACCCGTATGCACATCTACTATATAAAGATGGAACAAGTAAGCCGATAATTGAATATTAACTATGATTAGTTAAATGCAAGTATAAAGGAAATGAATTGATTAGGGGCGTATATGGTCTCGGTAAGAGTGTTTCCTTATGCATGAGACTATTCTTGGTTTTTTAAACTATGTGAATAGACAAATATAGATTCTGATTAAATTACGATTTTCATTTAAAAATAATTTCTGTATCCAGATCGATTAATTTTATTTATTCTTTTTTTGATTTTCAAAAAAAACCTCTATTACAAAAATAAACACAAGATATTTATTAATTAACGGTTTAGAAACAAAATACACTCCACAACAAGACGAAATAAAATATCACAATATTTATTTTAAAAAAAAGAAAAGGAAAAAAAAGGAAAAAAAGAAATATGAAAACTCGATTTATTCATGGATCTTTTCGACGTTTAAATTGTGCTATAAGATCCTAAAAGAAATATTTCTTCTTCAATTGCAAAAACAAAGAAAAAAAACACAATCAATTTTCTTACCTTTGATATTTTCGTACCAAGGACAAGTTTCATTTTATGTTTTTGTTCTTCTTCTTCTTGTTGTTCATTTGTATTCGATATTTCATTATTATTTATTGTATCCGAATTGAATAAAACTGAATTATTTGTTGTTGCCTCTACTCCTCCTCCTCCTCCTGCTCCTGTTGGTGTTGTTGCTAATAATTGTTGATTTTGTGCTCGAGTCGATTTTCCAATAAATGGTAATCTTAAATTAATATTTTGTCTAATAGCTTGAGAAAGTAATACTGTTTTAACATCAGATTTTATTGCTAAAACAAGATCATGCCAACTACATGTTAAATTACGATATTCAAGTGTTGGAAATGATATATGTGCATTTTCTAAATCACCAATCTTTTTTTCTTTTGTACCCTTTAAAACAAAATTTATTCAAAAAAATAAAAAATAAATATTTTTATAAAATATTCTTACTCGAATTTTATATGAAATAATTAATGATACTTCAGGAATTTTAATATATTGAAATGATAATGTATTTTTTGCACGTTTTTCCATTGCATCAAGATCAACATTACTAAAGTAGAATAATGATCGACCAGTTAATAATTCTTCGTCACCCTAAAATAGAATTTTATTTTAATTAAAAGAATTTTTATAAAAGAAAAAAACAAGAGTATTCAAATTGAATCTGTGAAAAATTCAATAAACACACACACAAAAGGAGAACAAGAATGCTAGTATGAGGCAAAAAGGAGATTGATGTGCGTATAGAAACCGCAACCGAAAAAAAAAAGTAAGGAGAAGAAATAATACCCATCGAATATCATTCGAAATACGACGACTGAACCGACGTAACACAGTCTATAGAAGTAAATATTATCGACGAATATTATTCTTTTGTTTTATTTTTATTTTTTTTTTACTATTTTATTTATTTAAGAAGAAAAAGAAAAGATTTTTTTTTTGTTTTTTTGTTTCATATTCTTACTTCAGCTGATCTTGTTCGACGTTTAAATGAATTTGATGTTGTATGTTTAAGTGATGATTTATTCGATCGATTATTATTATTTGCTTGTTGTATTTCATTATTTTGTTGAGCTTTATTAGGAAAAAGAAATGCCATTAACATTTGAGAAAAACGACGTGTCATTTGAATAACAAGTGGTGCAACATTAATTTCTATAGAAAAAAAAATTTTTATTTAAATATAATGAAAAAAAATGTTTTTTTTTTTGTTTTATTACCAAGATGTTCTTTTACAGCAATACCACCAACAGATTCTCCTTCTTTACAATAAACACGTATCATTGTATGTTGTTGTTGACAATTTGATGTTAAAATTGTTCGATATCGATCATCAGGTAATAAATTTTCAACTTGAGCTTGACCAATACTTATGGCATGTTCGTTTGTACCATTTTCATAATAACGTTTAGTATACCTTAAAATAAATAGTATGTAGATATATAGATAATCTTTTATATTTTGTTACTGATTAATAATGAAAAACAAAAAAAGAAAGATACTTAGAAAAACAAATTCAAATTTCTCAAGTAAAATTTTAATTTCTATTTATCCTTACAAAATATTTCTTAATAAAAATTCTGCATTTTTAATCTGTCCATCATCATGTTTAATAAACCATGTAATTGAACCACCATGAAGTTCATATCGTCGTTCCAATCGAGCAGTTTTACTACCTTCAATTAAATTTTTCAATAGAATTTTAAAAAAAAAACCCACTTTACACATACTTGTTCCTGCTATTCTTAATTTAATAAGACGTGCTAATTGCATATCTTTATAAACTGCACACATCATGCCTAATTTTTCTGCTAATTTATTTAATTGAACTTTAACTGAAGTATATAATGTTTGTAATTTTTCATATTCGTCTGATGTATATAAAAGTGTACGTTCTCGACCATCTTCTTCGTCAGATGAATAAGGATTCCTAATGAAAAAAAGAAAAAAATAAGAAAATTTAATTTCTTTTTTATATTCAAGAAAACTTAAAATATTATATTTACACAAGATTATTATTTGCTCGACTAAAAAAATAAATTTCTCGTTCAAGTCTTCGTAATTTAGCTAATGTTGATCTAATAGAATATCAAATAAAAAATAAATTATCATATTTTTTTATTATATTTATTTTACCTAACACGTTCAAGTAAATGACGAATACTTTCACGTAAAACAGGAAGATTATCAGCTAATTGAATTTGTAAACGAAGTTTCCTTAATTTACTATTAGCACCCTAAAAAAGAAAAGAATAATTCCAATTTTATATATTATTCAAATTAGATTTGTAATCGATCGGAAATTTTTGAATTGGTTCTATTCAAAAAAAATCTTTTAGACTGGTGAAACCTAACAAAAAACTGTCCGGTATGTTGAGTTATTATTAATTGATTAATAGGAATGGCTTCAAAAAACATTCATTTTCCTTTTTGCACTCAGGTTTTTTACCAATCATGTTATAGTCGTTTATAGCTGTTTGTTTTCCTCACGAATGAATACATGACACATCTATATATAGCACGAAAAAAAAAAGAGTTATTAACTCGGTCAACTGATTGTCAAACTACTATTCGATCAGGTCTGCGTCCGAAAATTTTGAATCCGATTAATCCTACCGACCAAATTGGTTACAAGTCTGATTCAAATCTTACTTCTTCTTTAGGTTCAACATATAAAAGTAAATTATTAACAATATCCATAATTGTACGATATTGTGACTAGATAAAAATAGAAAAAGCAAATAAGAAAAATCAAATGTATAAATCTAATCAACAAACTGAATTTGTTGATAATTCAATATCATTATGAATAAATGTCAATGAATCAACAAGCAAACGATCACTTTCACCAATTGGATTTAATTCGTTCATTGACGGTTTTGTAAATGGCTAAACAAAAAAAAATGAATTTCTCAAAAATAAAAATTTTTTCTTTCGTCTTTTCATATACCGGAATAACAATATTTGTATCGGTTTCTTCTTCTTGTTGTGTTTGTTCAGTATAAAACACATAAGATAAATTTGCATTGGATTTTGATATAATACATTGAAGTTGTTGATCACCATGACCATCATTTGTTGCTATACTTCCAATAACATTTCGTGATGATTCGCCTAATAAAGAATTTTCATCACGAATATCACGTTGTGGAATCCAAATTATATCATCATCTGATGATGACGATGACATATCATTTGTATCATCTATTGTTGATGGTGTTGATGAAACTGTTGTTGCAAAATATTGCATTCCTTGTAGATTACCATGCCATGATGTTTTATCACATAATTGTTGATCACGCCAAACAGGTTTATGACGATATTGATCAACTAATGCAATTGCAGCTGATAAAATAACATAACCACGTGATTCAGTACCACGTAAAGCTATTTGACCATCAGCTAATTCAATATGTAATGTATGTTCTTCAACATCTTCTTTTGAGCATTGACGAAGACCAACTAAAGATACAGATGCATCAACAACCTAGAAACCAAATGAAATAATCCACATAATATTGAAAAAAAAATATATTTTTTTGTTCTCATAATGAATCCTAAAACAAGGAATAGTTTATCGATAAGATTTGCTGATTGTAATAAAAAAACAAAATATGTAAGTCTTTGAGATAATAATTTTTTTTTTTGTTTAGTTGTTATTAAACCATAACTCGAAATTTTAAGGTTATTCTTGTTAAGCTTATGTGAGATTTATGATCAGCGAGGCATATTAATTATATTTTTATTTTGTCATGTTTCTAATCAATAAGTTAAAACAAGAAAAGGCATAAGCTTTTTAGCTGAGTACAAGATCTAACAAGGGAACCTCTTCAAATGTCAAATTGCTTTTCAATCAAGACGATGTTCATTTGATCAGTACTAGTGAGTAATAGAAACGTCCAGAATGGTTTGGTTTTCCAGACCTTTATTCTTGAGACATCGAAATTCTACTGAGTTTTTCAACAAAAAGCTATGCCTCCCCTCAGGTCACGTAAGAGTTTTGATGGCAAACTTTGCACGAACAAAATTCTTAATGAGAATAATTCATTGAGTAAGTTGTAACTTTTCTAATATCGAACGTTCGATAGTCGATTTTAAACTTGATCGGACGAAGACAACAGCTTTTTGTTGAAAGACCCAGTAAAATTTCGATTTCTCGAGAACAATGGTTCGAAAAATCAAACCATTCTAAGCTTTTCTATTATTCATCAAATGAATATCGTCTTGGTCGAAAAGAGTTTTGATACCTGAAGAGATTTTTTCGTAAGCAGAAGTTAATTAATAAGTTTCTACAAATCAATATTCCCATATATATATATATATATATAAAGACTTATTTAGTTTGAGATTAAAGCAAATATGATCACCTTGTTTACATTGTCTTCATGCTTTAATCAACCGAATCGTATTAATAGCTTAAACATAGAATGTTTTCAATAATTATCTTGTTCACAAATGTATCCTTTATGAGTTTTATACAACTCATAGCATACAAAAGAATACGATTAAGACTTCGTCTGAAAAAAATAGCTCATAATACTATAGTACATAACGAAAAAAAGATCAATATATTTTTATCAATTTCATTCTACTATATTTTTCAATGTCAATTTGAAAATTTCATTTTTTTCCTCCTACTAAAAAAGGAAAACATTTGAATTTCAAAGAAACTATGAATAATCAGTAGGACAAGTATTTAAATGTAGAAGTTTTTGAAATATAGTCTATGATTTCTTCAATCAATTTTGTTTGCAAAGTATTTGAATTACATGTAGTGTAATTCAAACAACTGAAAGATTAGATAGTCCATTCAAAACTTTATCAATCGTACTTTTAAAAAGAATTTTTCTTGATTTATTTAGTATTAATAAAATCTTTTCAGATTTCGAAATCATCAATATTAAAAAGAACATTTTTATTATTTAAAAAAAATAATTACAGTTTGACTTGAGTATCACATTTTTTATAGATAATTGTTTGAGTTTTCTAATACAGTTGAAAATATTGTCACTCCACCTCCGACAATTTCGATTCAAACTTAGTCCGATGAGTGTTTTTTTCAAAAACAGATTGAATAAAAAAAAAAAAGACTGTCTCTATACCATTTTAAACTTCATCTATGTTTTCATATTGCAAACATAGTTTTTCAATAATCAAAGTAATCGGTACGTTACCACGTTACTCAAAACGAGCAAACACTGCCGGTAGATTGTTTGATATAATGTGCGCTATGCTTCTGTGATATACTGATAGTTGTTCTCCGACTGGCGATCTACTACCGGTATACCAACGATAGTATAAACAAAGTTTTAGAAAATATGATCGATTATGTTTTACAAAAAGAAAATTGACCTTCTTCTATACTGAAATACAGGAGAAACAAAATCGATATAAAACTTTTGTCCGACGATTTTTTTGTTACAGTTATGAATCCATCCAAAAAAAACTTAGTAATACTCAACTAATGTCTGCAACAGAACAAAAAAAAGGGTGAGTGTAACCTCAATTATTTGACAACGGCAACAGCTATCGACCTGCTATTTTCCACAATCAAAAGAAAAACTCTGAACGTGTTTTTATCTGATACTATGTAAGACAAAGTTACACTGTTTTTATGCATTTTTCTGAAAGTTTTGCAAAGATGATGACTTTTTAAATAATTCGGTCGTATGTTATATCAGACAAAAAGATGTCCGGAGTTCTACTCTTTTGATGGCTGAAAACCTTAGGTCGATAGTTATTGCCGTTGTCAATTTATTAAGCTTACATCTATTTCTGACATAGACATTAGATCACTGATGAATTGTTTTAAATTGAATAAACTAAACATTCTATACTAACGTACAGGATCAAGATCAACACTTGGTTTATGTTGACTTTCATTAATAAGTTGATCAAGAAATGAAGCTAATGTTGATGGTTGTGAAATTGTATCATTTGTTGTTACAGTTATTGTTGTTGTTGGTAATGGTGTTGCTGTTGTTGTCATTAAATTTAATTCATCATTTATATGTATATTATCATCCAATGGTGATTGATTTGATGATGTATTAAGAATTTTTTCTTGTTGTAAATGTTCAAGTTCTTTAGCAAATGGATTTGAAAGATTTGAACGAAGTATATTATTTCGACGATAACGTTCATAGACAAGAAAAAGTGTTCGACGATTAGTTAAATTCCAAACAGCTTTTAATCCACCAATTAATACACTATGTGTACTTGTTTTACTATTTGTTGATGGTGAACGTATATAAACAAGACTATCTAAACTAAGAAAAAATGTACGTTGTTGTTGTGATTCTTGTTGATTATCAGATTTATTTGTTATTTCATTTATTTCTTTATCTTCATTAGCATCACGTAATAACCACATTTGTGCACGTTCTAAATTAATATTCATCATTTTTGGTTTCCATAATGTTCTTGCACGACGTGAGAGACCATCATGCTGTTCAATTAAATGTAATTCTTGATATGTTATAAAATTAAATAAACGACAATCAACTTGTGCACCTGTTTGACGTGCAAATGATGTTAAATATTTAACACGAAATTGAGGTAATATTAATTGTAATTCAACAGCTTCATAATGACGAGATAGTAGAGGTTTACGTAGTGGTACAGCAGTTTCACCTGGTGATAAAAATTTACGTCCACGACGTGTTGGTCGAGTAATTGACATCATAGTATTCTATAGAGGAAAAAAAAATAATGTATCGCTTATTTCGACTATCTTTTCTTTTTAGGTCTTCAAAATCTGATCTTGGATCAGATACATTCAAATCGTATGAAATGGTGCTCCAATTATAAAGGAACTCTGTCATGCTCTTTCAAACAAAAACAAAAAATACCATTGGTTACAATGAAGCTCCTGCGAGAATTCTGGGATGCATGAACAAAAAAACATAAATAGAGCAAAAGCGAAACAAAGGCTTTACTGCTGTATCTGAAAAGACGCACATTTTTCAAGTAGAAAATCACGAAAATTTTTGGAAAAAAAACGAGACATCAAATAAAATAAAATCACGTTATTTATGAAAGATTAGACTTTGGACTATCTTCCCATGTATTTATCTCAATTTTCATATTTTTGACGCAAGATTCACGTTGATTTTTTTTCTTACCTTAACACCTTCACAAAATCGTAGTGTACTTGCATAGATAGTACATGTTGGTGGTGTTCCACCTTCAGGTACTTCTTTACATTCAAATTTTGCTGCTAAATTCACATGATGTGAACGATATAATGCATAAGAATCATATGGCTAATAAAATAAAATAAATTTTTATAATTAATATTATATATACAAATCAAGATAAATGTGTGATCAGAATAATTAATCTGACATCATAGATCAATATCAGACTGACTTATCAAAATAAAACAAACATCATATCACACATACATATGTTGCTGACAGGAAGAATTGAACATGAGTAGTTCAAATTCAAATATTTTAATACCATTCGACTATATTTACCTCTTGTTTTTGCCGTGATTTAACAGCATCACGTGTAGCAAGTCGAACAGCATTATGATCATTTGGATTACCAGCACATAACCAATTTAAAGATATTCTATTCAAAAAATATTTCAAAAAAAAAAATTTATATATATATATATATTTTTTTTTTCTATCAAACCTCGTATCAACATTTGGTAAATAAAGTAAACAACAATCATCATATTTTGAACTTGTTCTTAATTTAATAGAAAGACTTGATGCTTTGATAAGAAATTTTCCACTTGTCCAATCAACATACGTTTGATCCCATACCCATTCCATTTCTTCAGTGTCATTATATGGATCTGAACCAACATGATAAAGCCATGACATTTTATTTGCAGCAAATGACCATCGACCATGAAATAAAAGACGAATCTTATCCCACCATGCAAGTAATGGAGAAGGGTCAACTGTACGAGATGTTATACTATTTAAACATAAATTAACTTGAGCTATTGTATTTTCCCACTAGAATAAAAAAAAAATAAAAATAAACTATTGAAATGAAATTCAATAACATCATCCTTGATCTTAATATGATTTGTATTTTATTTTTCAAATTTAAAATATTCAAAACTATTGATCAGATTTTCTCTTTCTACATTTAGTCTCTTTTTATTTAAAATGATCAAATTAGTCTAGGACAGATTCTATCTTAATTTTTGAACAGAGATGATGCACAATAATTTTTAATTCAAACAATAAATTAAATCATTTGAGTATTACTCGAAGTGATCAATTAATTTTCTCATGCATCCTCTACGTTTAGACATCATCAATACTATCTCCGGTAGTTTACCACCAAAGCAAAAAACCTATAAAATTTGATTGAAAATCCACATATAGACGCTAACAATCAGTTAAAATGTATCGGATGTTTACTGACTCTATAAATTCTCTTTGTGTATTCTTGTTCAATTGTGCTGTTTCGTATTGATTTTTTTAAAAATGTAATCTTACGTAACAACTAAATAATATATTCAAACTGGTCTTTTTTTTTGTATTTTTCTCAAAAGTTTGTTTAGCAAGAATTATAACACACAATAAATGAAATAATTTAGTTTTTGTTGAAATTATTCATTTGTAAGTTTTTATAATCTTGTTCTAAACTAAATTCTTACTACATCATAGAATTCATTTTAAAAGATAATTCAAACTTAAAATCAATAAGACATATTAATCTATTTTCTTACAGCTGGTCCAAATGAAATAAGAAAAGAATCAAGATCGGAATTAATATCATGATAAAATTTTAATGGTGATAAAAGTCTTTGAACTTGAACTCGACTTGGTGAATAAGGTTCACCAATATCAACCCAAGGTGTTCTTATTGAATCTAAACTATCTGGTGTAGTTTCAGCTGCACAAATATGTCCCCAAAGATGAAATTGTTGCATTTGCCATAATGGTTGTCGAAAATCTCGAAAATGTATTGACCAATCATCACATTTTAATATAACATAACGACACCATATTGTACATAAATCACTTGTATCAATTGGAATTTGTGGACTATCACAATCAATTCGATGTATTATATTTAATATATTTTCTTTTCCTGTCCATGATTGATCAGCTAATGCAATTAAATCAACTTGTCGTAAATGCCAACGTACTAAATTACGTTTTATTCGTTGATTATTTTCATCATAATTTGTTTTTTGACAACGTTTTATATAAACACGAGAATTAGCATCCATTAAAGCTTTTTTTAATTCATTTATATTATTTAATGGTTGAGACATTTTTTCATGTCCTTCTATACGACGTTGTAATTCTTGTTCACGTATTTCACGTTCATGATATTCATCAGCCATTAACTAGAACAAAAACAAAACACATTTATAATAATAGAAAAATTAAATATTATCTTTTTCTTTTTTTACACAGTAATTTTGAAATAATTTAACTTCAAATAAATCATCAATTATAGTTAATTCAAATTCCTTAAGAAAAAAAAAAAAATAAATGAATTAATTTGAAATAAAATAAAATAAAATAAATAACTAAACGAACATTTATTTTTATTGATAAATCTGTCCAAACTTCATTTGATACAGTATGTTTTGGAACTTGACTTAAAAATGTTGATGACATATCACCATTAGCTTTATGAAGACGTTTTAACCATTTACGAATATTAATAAACTTAAGAAGAAATAAACATAAAAGTTATAATCTTAAAATTTTATTCGTTTTGAAAAATAAACCTTTTCCATAACTTCATTAAATGTTGAATCAAATGGAAAATGAATAGAAAATGAATTAATTTGTAATAAACTAGCTCGATTGTGAAGCATATCAAGTGTACCAATTGTTTTTTGTAATAAAATTCGTTCTGTTGTTAAAGTTTCTGATTGAATAAGACGTGTAAATAATATATCCTATTTAAATCATAATAAAACAAATATTTATATCAATAGAATTATTTTAGAATTGAAAATTTACATGTACAACAAAAAGACATTGTTGTTGCCAATCAACTGTTAATTGTAAACATTTTAATTGCATTTGTGTTTCATTATCAATTAATCTGTTACGTACAAATCGTGTTGAGAATTGATGAAGTTCTAATAGAATCCTAAAGATTTTAAATCAAATAGAATAGGATGATTTTTAATAAATA